ATGTTTACGCGATCTATCCCAAAAGGCCTGTATCATGGACGACATTGGTCGCGAAAGCGTTAAACTCTCAAGACATTCGCCCTCTCACGACCCGGCTCTCGTTATCTCGGTCTGACGTCATCGGCGCCCAACGCCAGTGAGGAGGTGTCCCCCGCTCGTGACGCATTGTAACCACGTGCCTCCGCGTGATGTCACTCCTGCTTATTTCCTTAACCTTATTTGTGCATAGACACGCCAAAATCTAAAGTATAAACTTCATAGTATCATCAGTATACTAAATATACTCTCTAATAAGCTGAGCTACTAACAGTAAGTAATACATTACAATTCTATGTCGCAAAAAAATACAATATGCTTCCAGCTAAACTTTTTTCCTTACATCACACGGGAGGCAGCTGTAGACTAACAGTGACATTCACGTAGAGAGAGACACAGCGAGACAGGCAGCTGTAGACTAACAGTGACACTCACGTAGAGAGAGACACAGCGAGACAGGCAGCTGTAGACTAACAGTGACACTCACGTAGAGAGAGACACAGCGAGACAGGAGGCAGCTGTAGACTAACAGTGACACTACGTAGAGAGAGACAGCGAGACAGGAGACAGCTGTAGACTAACAGTGACACTCACGTAGAGAGAGAGACACAGCGAGACAGGAGACAGCTGTAGACTAACAGTGCCTCTCACGTAGAGAGAGACACAGCGAGACAGGAGGCAGCTGTAGACTAACAGTGACACTCACGTAGAGAGAGACACAGCGAGATAGGCAGCTGTAGACTAACAGTGACACTCACGTAGAGAGAGACACAGCGAGACAGGAGGCAGCTGTAGACTAACAGTGACACTACGTAGAGAGAGACAGCGAGACAGGAGACAGCTGTAGACTAACAGTGACACTCATGTAGAGAGAGACTCAGCGAGACAGGAGGCAGCTGTAGACTAACAGTGACACTCACGTAGAGAGAGACACAGCGAGACAGGCAGCTGTAGACTAACAGTGACACTCACGTAGAGAGAGACACAGCGAGACAGGAGACAGCTGTAAACTAACAGTGACACGTAGAGAGTGACTCAGCGAGACAGGAGACAACTGTAGACTAACAGTGACACTACGTAGAGAGAGACACAGCGAGACAGGAGACAGCTGTAGACTAACAGTGACACTACGTAGAGATAGACACAGCGAGACAGGAGACAGCTGTAGACTAACAGTGACACTACGTAGAGAGAGACACAGCGAGACAGGAGACAGCTGTAGACTAACAGTGACACTACGTAGAGAGAGACACAGCGAGACAGGAGACAGCTGTAAACTAACAGTGACACGTAGAGAGTGACTCAGCGAGACAGGAGACAACTGTAGACTAACAGTGACACTACGTAGAGAGAGACACAGCGAGACAGGCAGCTGTAGACTAACAGTGACACTCACATAGAGAGACACAGCGAGACAGGAGACAGCTGTAGACTAACAGTGACACTACGTAGAGAGAGACACAGCGAGACAGGAGACAGCTGTAGACTAACAGTGACACTCACGTAGAGAGAGACACAGCGAGACAGGCAGCTGTAGACTAACAATGACACTCACGTAGAGAGAGACACAGCGAGACAGGAGACAGCTGTAGACTAACAGTTACACTCACGTAGAGAAGGACACAGCGAGACAGGAGACAGCTGTAGACTACCAGTCACACTCACGTAGAGAGAGACACAGCGAGACAGGAGACAGCTGTAGACTAACAGTGACACTACGTAGAGAGACACAGCGAGACAGGAGACAGCTGTAGACTAACAGTGACACTCACGTAGAGAGAGACACAGCGAGACAGGAGACAGCTGTAGACTAACAGTGACACTCACGTAGAGAGAGACACAGCGAGACAGGAGACAGCTGTAGACTAACAGTGACACTCACGTAGAGAGAGACACAGCGAGACCGGAGACAGCTGTAGACTAACAGTGACACTCACGTAGAGAGAGACACAGCGAGACAGGAGACAGCTGTAGACTAACAGTGACACTCACGTAGAGAGAGACACAGCGAGACAGGAGACAGCTGTAGACTAACAGTGACACTCACGTAGAGAGAGACACAGCGAGACAGGAGACAGCTGTAGACTAACAGTGACACTCACGTAGAGAGAGACTCAGCGAGACAGGAGACAGCTGTAGACTAACAGTGACACTACGTAGAGAGAGACACAGCGAGACAGGAGACAGCTGTAGACTAACAGTGACACTACGTAGAGAGAGACACAGCGAGACAGGAGACAGCTGTAGACTAACAGTGACACTCACGTAGAGAGAGACACAGCGAGACAGGAGACAGCTGTAGACTAACAGTGACACTACGTAGAGAGAGACTCAGCGAGACAGGAGACAGCTGTAGACTAACAGTGACACTCACGTAGAGAGAGACACAGCGAGACAGGAGACAGCTGTAGACTAACAGTGACACTCACGTAGAGAGAGACTCAGCGAGACAGGAGACAGCTGTAGACTAACAGTGACAATCACGAAGTGAGAGACACAGCGAGACAGGAGACAGCTGTAGACTAACAGTGACACTCACGTAGAGAGAGACTCAGCGAGACAGGAGACAGCTGTCTCGACGGTCAATGGTATAGTGTATAGCAGATTGTATAATAATAAATAGTATAAAATTGTAATGTTTAATACAATGTATAAGGCAATATATAGTATCGTAATTGTATAGTGAATATACAGCAGCGTGATATACAGTAGGGTGGATAGAATAATACATAGTGTAATATTACACTATGTATTACTCTGGTGGTGTATAGTAATACAGTATATAATTTAACGCTGGGTTTGTCTATGGCAGCATACAGTACGGGCTGAGTGTGAAATGGACTCGAACCTGCACCTCTGCATTGCAAGTGCAGTGAGCTGACGCCCCCCGCGTGTGGAGGGTAAAGTTGTGGGTAGGCCCACCCCGCTCCAACGGGTCTGGACCAGCGTGGAAGAGTAGACCAAATACCCCACATCGCGGCCTCTAGTGGAGGCCATTTCTGCCACGACAACAACTCCGTCCCTCCAGATACAAAAGAACTAAATGTAACTCATCCCATCAGCCACAATCTGGCAGTGCCTCTCCTCATCATCATCATCAGCAGGGCCGCGCTCTGCTTGGAGCAGCGCCGTGAACTCAGCAGGCGCCCAGAACGTAACGGCTGTGAGCCAGGCGCCTCCTCTGCCTCCCCTCTCCACCACCGCCACTGCTGATGTGTCCACACCGTACAAGGTTCTCACCTTCTTCGGGCTGAGTCGATGTAGAGGAGGACCAGCCAGCGAGCCGCCGCTTCAGCAGCGACGGTGGCCGCGAGCGGGAATCCGAATCAGCCGCTCGCCACCCACAATGCTCAGCGCTGCCTCCACTCGCCCCAGCCTCGGCGGGGGGAGGGGCGGGGGAGAGGGGGCGGGCCGAGGGGGTGGGCATGGGGGGGAGGGGCGGGGGAGAGGGGGCGGGGCGAGGGGGTGGGCATGGGGGGGGGCTCGGGTGAGGGGCTCAGGGCTCCACGTCTCGGTGGGCGTGGTCACCTGGTACCGCCCCCTCGTCTCGAGCCACGCGCTTCCCCCTGGCAGTTTGTCCGTTAGAGAGGCGGGGAGAGACTGGCGAAGGTGAGGAGTGGATCCTCGCTGTGGGTGGGTGGTGCGGTGGTGCGAGTCTGTGTGTGGTGTGAGTCTGTGTTTGTGTGAGTCTGTGTGTGGTGTGAGTCTGTGTTTGTGTGAGTCCGTGTGTGTTTGTATCCGTGTGTGAGTCTGTGTGTGTGTGGAGTGGTTAACGCGCTGTCAACACCAGTGACGATTTTATGAACCGGTCCTGGGCCTCCCCTAGGTCGACTCAGCCTCAAATGAGTACCTGGTGTGGTGTGTAAATATCGCCACTCGGAGACAAAGGCGCGGTGTTGGCCACCCATGCCCTCGTGTGCTTTTCCGGCCTTCATAGGTGATGCTGGCTAACAGCACTTGCCCCAACAGTTTATTTCAGCTATAAGGGGGATATTTATATTTGTTGTTCGTGGTGGTGTTGTTGGTGGTGTTGATGGTGGTGTTGTTGGTGATGATGGTGGTGTTGATGGTGGTGCTATTGGTGTTGTTGGTGGTGGTGCTGTTGGTGGTGCTGGTGACGGTGTTGATGATGGTGATATTCTTGTTGGTGGTGGTACTGGTGTTGTTGGTGGTGATGTTGATGGTGTTAGTGGTGTTGGTGGTGGTGTCGGTGGTGGTTCCAACGAGCCATCCTGGGTTTAACCTAGCTGGATTGTGTGAGGAGCTCACAAATCCTTGAAGGATCTGGACACATTCCCACCGGTAAGCTCCTCCGGCAGGCAAGGCTGCGTTTGCTGGGTCTTGTAGCCCGCATACCCAAGCAGTTTCTTTTTGGCTGCATAAAGGGGGCTAAACGGCCACGACATGGGCTGTCGAAAATATGGACTGATGCTGTATGGGAGGATGTTGAGTTGAGTAGACTTGTGAAAGACTGGTACCAGCGGTGTAAATAGCATCATTCACGAGGAAGCTCGTGAAGGAGGCTACTGGACAGTTGGAGGCAGACTGCCTCCTACAACAACTGAGGGCAGAGGAGTGACGCTCACAACGAGTGGCGGATAAAATTCGGTAAGTTGGCACAGTTGGGCATACAGCTGGTGTATCTACCAATTATCTCAGCCAACCTTTGGAACCTGGGTCTGTCTCGTGACGTCTTGTCAGCGAGCCTTCGACACTTCGTGTGGCCTGAAAGTGCACCTGGCCTGGCAAAGGCGCCGTGGTGACATCATCGCTACTAAGTGGCGAATGTCGGTTGTTGTTTTTGTGTTTCGTGTTGTGAGTGATTGGTGATGATGTGAGTCTGTGTTGATGATGTGGGTTCATGGTGTGAGTCCGCATTGTGACTTGACTCGTGTTGAGATGTGGGTGCCGTCACACCCCCTCGACTCTGTGATCCTCGGCTTCGTCTCCTGCTTCGCACACAGAGACCTGGACTGCGCGAGAGACGCTGTTAGTTCTGTGCACCCTGCTCTGCAATTGGCCACCATGGAGGTACGTGTGGCTCTACGACTCGTGTGGTGAAGTATTAATGGACGTGTGCTCTCCACTCCATGTGTGGCTACCTGTCACCTATCCATACACCTAAGTGTGCATCTGCTTGGCTGCTTGAGTGTGTGTGCATCTATCAGAGTATCTCCCCAAGATCCTCTCTGTGCACCTGCCTTTCTACGTTTTAATAATCTACTGTACTTTTATCTATCCACTACTGGATAAAGGCCTCCTTCCTTGAGACCCTGCTACCCCTCACGATCCTGCGATGGAATAATCCACCAAGCACCGATTTTGTCGCTCCATATTTCTAGCAGCCGTCCTCTCAGACGTGTTCCGATACTTGGCTGCACCTCCGTTATTGTTCTAGACCATCAACCATCGTTGTTCCTCGTGGCTGTGGCATGTCCTGGCCCAGCCCTACTTCTCTTAACAGTTTGAAGGATGCCATTAACCTGCGTGTGTCCTATAAATACACACGTGTCTCATTGTTAATCCAAGTGTGACATCTGACATTGGCCAAATATCCGAACGCTGAGAACTGACATCTCAGCAGGACCCTCCTGAATGTGGAGCCCAGGATCTCAGAGATCCTGGCTCAGTGCTCGCCGCTTGCACTATCCCCCACATCTTGCTAAAGCCTATGTGGTGGACCTTTGTCTTTGTGTGTGTGTAGATGAGCCAATCTGGAGAGGCGAGGAATAAGGGTGAATTTTGTACCACGTGGAGGGCGCTGTCCTCAGAGGGCACCGCCTCCATCTGCATCAAATCACCGCAAGGTAAGAACAGGAATGAGGGATGTCACAGAGGGCCATGGTGAATGGTGGAACATCACGATGGCCATGTTGCATGGTGGATGTCACAGTGGCCATGATTCATTGAAGATTTCATAGTGGCCATGATGCATGAGTGATATCCAGGTGGCCAAGTTGCATGGGGGACTTCGATTGATAACGGGGCGCAGGAGCTCACTCAGCAGACTCCCTCGCGGTATCGCGGCGATGACTACAGCCTCAAGCTAAACAAGCGCAGAACCTGCAGATCGCTGTGACATGTAAAGATGAAACCGTGGGAGCGCAGCGTGCGTTGTGCACATTTTCCGAGGAGTAGCCCTCGTTTACAGGAGAACATAACTACGTGGAATGCACGTACAGGAGAACATACGTCCGTGTCACTCGACCACTTCGAGCATGCTGTTTAAGGAACTACCCTCCTCACGGTGTGTATTAATTTATAAAAATGTCAGGATAATTTTTCAACTGGTCTTGTGCACGAGTGGTTTAAGTCAAATCCATTGGTGCTAAACTAGTTTTGCGTTGCCAGACGTGACATGTTGCCTCCACCACGATCAGCTTCCATTTGGGAAAGATGAGTGCACAGACACTCCTGGGCTTAAACACGTTTATGGCCAAGTAATGGCAGTGGTGCCTAAACCCGGAACAAAAACACAACATTAATTTATAATACCGGTCCCTCCTTCATAGCGGGGATAGCCTGGTGGGACAGTGGGTTTTTGGATTATTAGATCAGCTGGTCGTGAGTCTGAGCCTAGCTGGCAAGGTTATAGGGTCATTTGGTGGATCAGTATTTTGGCAGTAAGTTACCAGGTTAAAGTGTTTATTGGATCAGTAGGTCAGCTGGTGATCCGGTGGATAGGCTCGAAGTCAAATGGGTCGATTGATGGGTCAGAGTTTCACCAAGTCGGTGTATTGTATTGGCCTCGGTGTCTTATAGAGTCAGAGGGTGGGCAAGTCGGGTGTCGGGTTCATATATATTGTTGCGAAAGTATTTTATTGGGTCATAGGATGGGGTGGCGAATTATCGGTCTGTAAGTTATTTGGTCAGTGTGTCAGGATGATGCGTGTTGGGTCATTTACTCGGTGGGGGTACCCGTGGGCTGGCGGTCGGGTGGGGGTCGTCCGTCGGGTTGGTGGTTTGGCCGTTCGGTGACAGCGACGTCATCCGGCCATCCGTGCAAGCGTGGGTGGAGCAGCCCGTCGGCGAGACGGCTCTTCTCCTGCTCGTACCTCTGTACCAGCCGCCTGCCGGAGTTGACTAGAGCCTCGGCTCGCACTGTCATCTCCTCCTCGTAGCGCTCGCTCAAGCTGCGGAGAGACACCAGTGCCGGCGTCACAAGCGTGGTGGCACCAGCAGTACCCCGAACCGAGCAGAGCCCGGACTCGACACGCACTTGGGCCGACCGGACCAGGCCCCAACTTTAATAAACAAAACAAAACTAGCTTCGACCCTAACTGCACGATTGGTAAACACGCCACGCGATACGCACCCGATAAAAGCGCCGAGTTATTATTTCCAATCGTTCAATATATTTGACATTTAGGCCCATGGTGGTGATTGGTCAATGTGACATTGGTGCGGCAGGTTGGTTTGCGAGCCACCCCTACCACGCGAGACCGCAGCTAACAGAGCACACAAAACTTAATAAGTTATTACATTTCATCGTTAAACGGAGAATAATTGAGAAACAATACGAATGATAACAAGACCATACAAATTATATGATCCGGAATCGAATAGTGGCCTCGCAATGAGAGTAGTTGAGTTGCTGGGAAGGGAGTGGGGTGGAATGCCGGCCCCTTGTGAGCACCACAAGAAGCCGAGGGCAGAATAAGAGCACGATACTGCCGTCGGTAGCGTCAGCGCAACAGACTTCACGACCAAGACCACACCTCATAGGCTGTGATCGACTGCGAAGATTTCATAGCAATTGTTGTCAACAATCATCACTGGCAATAGTTTCCACAGAATGTTCCTGTGGTGCAACTGTAGCGGAGAAACTCGGCCGGCGCTGCTCTCTCCTCGCACACCTCCACACTCACATGCACCCCCACTAAACACGCACATGCACCCCCACTAAACACGCACATGCACCCCCACTAAACACTCACACGCACCCCCACTAAACACGCACCTCCACTAAACACGCACACGCACCCCCACTAAACATGCACCCCCACTAAACACTCACATGCACCCCCACTAAACACGCACACGCACCCCCACTAAACACGCACACGCACCTCCACTAAACACGCACATTAACCTCCACTAAACACGCACATGCACCCCCACTAAACACGCACATGCACCCCCACTAAACACGCACATGCACCCCCACTAAACACGCACATGCACCCCCACTAAACACGCACATGCACCCCCACTAAACACGCACATGCACCCCCACTAAACACGCACATGCACCCCCACTAAACACTCACATGCACCCCCACTAAACACGCACATGCACCCCCACTAAACACGCACATGCACCCCTACTAAACATTCACATGCGCCCCCACTAAACACGCACCCCCACTAAACACTCACATGCACCCCCATTAAACACTCACCCCCACTAAACACTCACATGCACCCCCACTAAACACTCACATGCACCCCCACTAAACACTCACATGCACCCCCACTAAACACACGCATGCACCCCCACTAAACACATGCACGTACCCCCACTAAACACTCACATGCACCCCCACTAAACACACGCACACCTCCACTAAACACTCACATGCACCCCCACTAAACACACGCATGCACCCCCAATAAACACTCACATGCACCCCCAATAAACACTCACATGCACCCCCACTAAACACTCACATGCACCCCCACTAAACACTCACATGCACCTCCACTAAACACTCACATGCACCTTAACTAAACACTCACATGAACCCCCACTAAACACACACACGCCACCCCCACTAAACACTCGCATGCACCCCCACGAAACACACATGCACCCCCACTAAACACACACATGCACCCCCACTAAACACACGCACCCCCACTAAACACTCACATGCACCCCCACTAAACACTCACATGCACCCCCACTAAACACGCACATGCACCCCCACTAAACACACGCACACCTCCACTAAACACTCACGCACACCTCCACTAAACACTCACGCACACCTCCACTAAACACTCACATGCACCCCCACTAAACACTCACATGCACCCTCACTAAACACTCACATGCACCCCCACTAAACACTCACATGCACCCCACTAAACACACGCACACGTTTATTTCAGAATCCGAAAAAGTTCATTTCCCGAGTGAACTCCATTGAGCTGAGACCCGAAGAATTCCACAATCACACTCACTCATCCACAAAGACAAAGACCCCCCCCCCCGTATAGCCTTAACAGACTGTTGGGGCAAGTGTTGTTAGCGAGCACCTCTGAAGGCCAGCACGGCACACGAGGGGGTGGGTGGTCAGCACCACGCCCGGTCGGGGGTGGGGGACGTTGCGTGAGTGCGCAGAGTCATTAATTAGATCCCGACAGCTGTGAGCGGAGATTTAAAGTGTTACGTGATCGGCGCGGTTCGCGAGTGCAGGCGCGCTTGTTGTGGGGGGCACGCGTGTTGTGGGGGGCACGCGTGTTGTGGGGGGCGGACGTGTTGTGGGGGGCACGCGTGTAGTGGGGGGCGCGCGTGTTGTGGGGGGCGCGTGTTGTGGGGGGCGCACGCGCAATAACCCCCTAGGCGGTGTCTGACAGGCGCTGGTGCGGGGGGGGCGGTCCCCCCCCCGATCGGCGGGGGCCCGGGGGGCCCAGCGAGACGCGGCCGAGGAGGGGGCCGGGTGGAGGGGGCGGACTTCGCGCCCCGCCCGCTCGCGGGGAGGGGGCATCAGCCTCCACAGCTGTGTCGGGTGGTGGTGGCGGGGTTAACGACACATTTAGATGTTTACGCGATCTATCCCAAAAGGCCTGTGAGGAGGTGTCCCCCGCTCATGACGCATTGTAACCACGTGTCTCCGCGTGACGTCACTCCTGCTTCTTTCCTAAACCTTATTTGTGCATAGACACGCCAAAATCTAAAGTATAAACTTCATAGTATCATCAGTATACTAAATATACTCTCCAATAAGCTGAGCTACTAACAGTAAGTAATACATTACAATTCTATGTCGCAAAAAATATAATATGCTTCCAGATAAACTTTTTTCCCTTACATCACACAGGTCTACCTCGTACTATATGCTGCCATAGACAAACCCAACATTAAATTATATACTGTATTACTATACACCACCCTATACCTTAGAATAATACATAGTGTAATATTACACTATGTATTATTCTATTCACCCTACTGTATTTCACACTGCTGTATATTCACGATACAATTACGATACTATATATTGCCTTATACATTGTATTAAACATTACAATTTTATACTATTTATTATTATACAATCTGCTATACACTATACCATTGACCGTCGAGTGAAAGATACTAAGAGGAAGCAAAATGAAACACCACCATGCTTGGAACGTATATTTAAGCTGGGTTGGATGGGGGGAAGGGCGCCTTGACAAAATTATTTTCATATCAAGAGGAATTTAGCATATTTATGGGAAATGCAGGTATGTGATTAGTACTACTTGTGAAATGCGTAGGAGGTGGACGGGGGGTTTTCAAAGTCATATTATGCCCGTGCATTATGCAGGATTAGCAGCATCAAAGGGAGGGGATATGGGTAGCATTAATAAAGGGTAGGAATGTTAATAGTATGTAGCTGCAGTAACTAAACAACCACGTAAAAAAGCTAAAGTATAAACTTCATAGTATCATCAGTATACTAAATATACTCTCCAATAAGCTGAGCTACTAACAGTACGTAATACATTACAATTCTATGTCGCAAAAAAATATAATATGCTTCCAGCTAAACTTTTTTCCTTACATCACACGGGAGGCAGCTGTAGACTAACAGTGACATTCACGTAGAGAGAGACACAGCGAGACAGGAGACAGCTGTAGACTAACAGTGACACTCACGTAGAGAGAGACACAGCGAGACAGGCAGCTGTAGACTAACAGTGACACTCACGTAGAGAGAGACACAGCGAGACAGGCAGCTGTAGACTAACAGTGACACTCAACGTAGAGAGAGACACAGCGAGAAAGGAGGCAGCTGTAGACTAACAGTGACACTCACGTAGAGAGAGACACAGCGAGACAGGCAGCTGTAGACTAACAGTGACACTCACGTAGAGAGAGACACAGCGAGACAGGCAGCTGTAGACTAACAGTGACACTACGTAGAGAGAGACACAGCGAGACAGGCAGCTGTAGACTAACAGTGACACTCACGTAGAGAGAGACACAGCGAGACAGGAGGCAGCTGTAGACTAACAGTGACACTACGTAGAGAGAGACACAGCGAGACAGGAGACAGCTGTAGACTAACAGTGACACTACGTAGAGAGAGACACAGCGAGACAGGAGACAGCTGTAGACTAACAGTGACACTCACGTAGAGAGAGACACAGCGAGACAGGCAGCTGTAGACTAACAGTGACACTACGTAGAGAGAGACACAGCGAGACAGGAGACAGCTGTAGACTAACAGTGACACTACGTAGAGAGAGACACAGCGAGACAGGAGACAGCTGTAGACTAACAGTGACACTACGTAGAGAGAGACACAGCGAGACAGGAGGCAGCTGTAGACTAACAGTGACACTCACGTAGAGAGAGACACAGCGAGACAGGAGGCAGCTGTAGACTAACAGTGACACTCACGTAGAGAGAGACACAGCGAGACAGGAGACAGCTGTAGACTAACAGTGACACTCACGTAGAGAGAGACACAGCGAGACAGGAGGCAGCTGTAGACTAACAGTGACACTCACGTAGAGAGAGACACAGCGAGACAGGAGACAGCTGTAGACTAACAGTGACACTCACGTAGAGAGAGACACAGCGAGACAGGAGGCAGCTGTAGACTAACAGTGACACTCACGTAGAGAGAGACACAGCGAGACAGGAGGCAGCTGTAGACTAACAGTGACACTCACGTAGAGAGAGACACAGCGAGACAGGAGACAGCTGTAGACTAACAGTGACACTCACGTAGAGAGAGACACAGCGAGACAGGAGACAGCTGTAGACTAACAGTGACACTACGTAGAGAGAGACACAGCGAGACAGGAGACAGCTGTAGACGAACAGTGACACTCACGTAGAGAGAGACACAGCGAGACAGGAGGCAGCTGTAGACTAACAGTGACACTCACGTAGAGAGAGACACAGCGAGACAGGAGACAGCTGTCTCGACGGTCAATGGTATAGTGTATAGCAGATTGTATAATAATAAATAGTATAACATTCTAATGTTTAATACAATGTATAAGGCAATATATAGTATCGTAATTGTATAGTGAATATACAGCAGTGTGATATACAGTAGGGTGGATAGAATAATACATAGTGTAATATTAGACTATGTATTATTCTAAGGTATAGGGTGGTGTATAGTAATACAGTATATAATTTAACGCTGGGTTTGTCTATGGCAGCATATAGTTCGGGGTGAGTGTGAAATGGACTCGAACCTGCACCTCTGCATTGCAAGTGCAGTGAGCTGACGCCCCCCGCGTGTGGAGGGTAAAGTTGTGGGTACACCCACCTCGCTCCAACGGGTCTGGACCAGCGTGGAAGAGTAGCCCAAATACCCCACATCGCGGCCTCTAGTGGAGGCCATTGCTGCCACGACAACAACTCCGTCCCTCCAGATACAAAAGAACTAAATGTAACTCATCCCATCAGCCACAATCTGGCAGTGCCTCTCCTCATCATCAGCAGCAGCAGCAGGCCGCGCTCTGCTTGGAGCAGCGCCGTGAACTCAGCAGGCGCCCAGAGCGTAACGGCTGTGAGCCAGGCGCCTCCTCTGCCTCCCCTCTCCACCACCGCCACTGCTGATGTGTCCACACCGTGCAAGGTTCTCACCTTGTTCGGGCTGAGTCGATGTAGAGGAGGACCAGCCAGCGAGCCGCCGCTTCAGCAGCGACGGTGGCCGCGAGCGGGAATCCGAATCAGCCGCTCGCCACCCACAATGCACAGCGCTGCCTCCACTCGCCCCAGCCTCGGCGGGGCAAGGGGCGGGGGGAGGGGCGGGGGAGAGGGGGCGGGGAGAGGGGCGGGGGTGAGGGGGCGGGGGAGAGGGGGCGGGGGGAGGGGCGGGGGAGAGGGGGCGGGGGTGGGCATGGGGGGGGGCGGGACGAGGGGCTCAGGGCTCCTACGTCTCGGTGGGCGTGGTCACCTGGTACCGCCCCCTCGTCTCGAGCCACGCGCTTCCCCCTGGCAGTTGGTCCGTTAGAGAGGCGGGGAGAAACTCTGGCGAAGGTGAGGAGTGGATCCTCGCTGTGGGTGGGTGGTGCAGGTGGTGCGAGTCTGTGTGTGTGGGGTGAGTCTGTGTTTGTGTGAGTCCGTGTGTGTTTGTATCCGTGTGTGAGTCTATGTATGTGGAGTGGTTAACGCGCTGTCAACCCCAGTGACGATTATATGAACCGGTCCTGGGCATCCCCTAGGTCGACTCAGCCTCAAATGAGTACCTGGTGTGGTGTGTAGATATCGGCACTCGGAGACAAAGGCGGCCGGGCACGCCCCCGTGTGCTGTTCCGGCCTTCATAGGTGATGCTGGCTAACAGTACTTGCCCCAATAGTTTATTTCAGCTATAAGGGGGATCTTTATCTTTGTTGTTCGTGGTGGTGTTGGTGGTGGTGTTGTTGGTGGTGTTGATGGTGGTGTTGATGGTGGTGTTGTTGGTGTTGATGGTGGTGTTGTTGGTGGTGTTGATGGTGGTGTTGGTGGTGTTGATGGTGGTGTTGATGGTGGTGTTGTTGGTGTTGGTGGTGGTGTTGTTGGTGGTGTTGATGGTGGTGTTGATGGTGGTGTTGTTGGTGTTGATGGTGGTGTTGATGGTGGTGCAATTGGTGTTGTTGGTGGTGGTGCTGTTGGTGTTGTTGGTGGTGCTGGTGACGGTGTTGATGATGGTGATTTTCTTGTTGGTGGTGGTACTGGTGTTGTTGGTGGTGATGTTGATGGTGTTAGTGGTGTTGGTGGTGGTGTCGGTGGTGGCTCCAACGATCAATCCTGGGTTTAACCTAGCTGGATTGTGTGAGGAGCTCACAAATCCTTGAAGGATCTGGACACATTCCCACCAGTAAGCTCCTCCGGCAGGCAAGGCTGCGTTGGCTGGGTCTTGTAGCCCGCATACCCAATAAGTTTCTTTTTGGCCGCATGAAGGGGGCTAAACAGCCACGACATGGGGTGTCGAAAATATGGACTGATGCTGTATGGGAGGATGTTGAGTTGAGTGGACTTGTGAAAGACTGGTACCAGTGGTGTAAATAGCATCCTTCACGAGGAAGCTCGTGAAGGAGGCTACTGGACAGTTGGAGGCAGACTGCCTCCAACAACAACTGAGGGCAGAGGAGTGACGCTCACAACGAGTGGCGGATAAAATTCGGCAAGTTGGCACAGTTGGGCATACAGCTGGTGTATCTACCAATCATCTCAGCCAACCTTTGGAACCTGGGTCTGTCCCGTGACGTCTTGTCAGCGAGCCTTCGACACTTCGCGTGGCCTGAAAGTGCACCTGGCCTGGCACAAGGGCCGTGGTGACATCATCGCTACTTAGTGGCGAATGTCGGATGTTGTTTTTGTGTTTCGTGTTGTGATTGGTGATGATGTGAGTCTGTGTTGATGATGTGGGTTCATGGTGTGAGTCCGCATTGTGACTTGACTCGTGTTGAGATGTGGGTGCCGTCACACCCCCTCGACTCTGTGATCCTCGGCTTCGTCTCCTGCTTCGCACGCAGAGACCTGGACTGCGCGAGAGACGCTGTTAGTTCTGTGTACCCTGCTCTGCAAGTTGCCACCATGGAGGTACGTGTGGCTCTTCGACTCGTGTGGTGAAGTATTAATGGACGCGTGCTCTCCACTCCGCGTGTGGCTACCTGTCACCTATCCATACACCTAAGTGTGCATCTGCTTGGCTGCCTGAGTGTGTGTGCATCTATCAGAGTATCTCCCCAAGATCCTCTCTGTGTACCTGCCTTTCTACGTTTTAATAATCTACTATACTTTTATCTATCCACTACTGGATGAAGGCCTCCTTCCTTGAGACCCTGCTACCCCTCACGATCCTGCGATGGAATAATCCACCAAGCACCGATTTTGTCACTCCATCTTTCTAGCAGCCGTCCTCTCAGACGTGTTCCGATACTTGGCTGCACCTCCGTTATTGTTCTTGACCATCAGCCATCGTTGTTCCTCGTGGTCGTGGCATGTCCTGGCCCAGCCCTACTTCTCTTAACAGTTTGAAGGATGCCATTAATCTGCGTGTGTCCTTTAAATACACACGTGTCTCATTGTTAATCCAAGTGTGACATCTGACATTGGCCAAATATCCGAACGCTGAGAACTGACATCTCAGCAGGACCCTCCTGAATGTAGAGCCCAGGATCTCAGAGATCCTGGCTCAGTGCTCGCCGCTTGCACTATCCCCCACATCTTGCTAAAGCCTATGTGGTGGACCTTTGTCTTTGTGTGTGTGTAGATGAGCCAATCTGGAGAGGCGAGGAATAAGGGCGAATCTTGTACCACGTGGACGGCGCTGTCCTCAGAGGGCACCGCCTCCATCTGCATCAAATCACCGCAAGGTAAGAACAGGAATGAGAGATGCCACAGAGGACCATGGTGAATGGTGGAACATCACGATGGCCATGTTGCATGGTGGATGTCACAGTGGCCATGATGCATTGAAGATTTCATAGCGGCCATGATGCATGGGTGATATCCAGGTGGCCAAGTTGCATGGGGGACTTCATGTTGGCAGTGTTGTATGGGGGACTTAATGGTAGCCATGTTGCATGGGGATGATTATTTGTGCTCTGGCCTCAGCACATCACACGCTTTCAGATGCGCTTCCGATATTAGGAAGCCACTTTTAAATCATCTAGATTGAAAACTAATTTCTTGAGCTTATTTGGGGCATCAAGTCAAACGTTCCACGAGAGGAGGCGAGTCACGTCTGAATGCCTACGGGATGGAGGAGAGCACCGGCCTCGCTGAAACGGGGCTTTCATGCAAAAGAATCGACGAAAATATAAAAAAAACAAGGAAAAAAATCGAGCGTGTTGTGAGCATTGATAGACAGTGGAGAAGTATCAAGAGGCGTGATAAGGGAGGGTGGCTTGCTACAAGGGGTAGGAGTGGTCCCTTCATCGCGCCTTCTTCTCTCGTGATTAGACTGCTCTTTCTCTCCATCGCGACGCTCAATGTTTACTTTCAGCCGGAACGCTCCGGATCGCTACACCGGGAATAATTTTGCACTCGCACTCACCAGCGTGGTGAAATATGATCAAATGACCCCCATTGTTAACGTGACGTACGGGAGGGGCCTTCATCCGTTGTTGTGCTGATAATGACTGGAATGGATTTTATTTTGACGCATGCTGCAGTATCCTGCATTTGGGGAGTGGCAGTGCAGTGATTGGTGGTCTCAAGCTGCATTTCCAAGAGGGTCCTGAGGGCAGGAGCTGAATTGGTCGTCGTGTGGCAGGAAACTGGAGTGCCCGAACAAAGCCTATGTATATGGAGGGGATAACACTCAAGGAACTAATTTTATTTTTGTTCATCAGACAGCCCCAAAGACCCACACACACAAAACAGCCAGCAAAAAACATGACTATTAAATGTGTCACCGATAAAGAGATAATAAGTGTCTTGAATCGAGCACGGTTATAGGAATATTGGAAATACAGGGGGTAAAGTTTACGTGTGTCTGTGCGTATATTGTGTCGTGTCGGATGTGTGAGGAATTCCACTTCAGCCTTTGCACAGCCTGTCACGAGAATGATAAAATGCACCACGTGACACCCAAGTGTTCAACAAAAGCTGATAACGAGACAACGACGCACACATCTGCAGCCTTCTCTCTCAAGTGATATAATTTTGCTAAGTTCATTCCGAGCCTACGTTGATCCCCCATTGCGATGTCTCCCAAGAACTTTAACCAACCCGCTGAGCCCTCCCAGCCACCGTCGTGTTCCGATCGAGCCTGGCGACACGTGGCTCGGCAACGCGAGCCTTCGATTGATAACGGGGCGCAGGAGCTCACTCAGCAGACTCCCTCGCGGCATCGCGGCGATGACTACAACCTCAAGCTAAACAAGCGCAGAACCTGCAGATCGCTGTGACATGGAAAGCGCAATTCATTGTAAAGATGAAACCGTGGGAGCGCAGCGTGCGTTGTGCACATTTTCCTAGGAGTAGCCCTCGTTTACAGGAGAACATAATTACGTGGAATGCACGTACAGGAGAACATACGTCCGTGTCACTCGACCATTTCGAGCATGCTGTTTAAGGAACTACCCTCCTCACGGTGTGTATTAATTTATAAAAATGTAAAGATAATTTTTCAACTGGTTTAGGTCAAATCCATTGGTGCTAAACTAGTTTTGCATTGCCAGACGTGACATGTTGCCTCCACCACGAGCAGCTTCCATTTGGGAAATATGAGTGCACAGACACTCCTGGGCTTAAACACGTTTATGGCCAAGTAATGGCAGTGGTGCCTAAAAGCGGAACAAAAACACAACATTGATTTATAATACCGGTCCCTCCTTCATAGCGGGGATAGCCTTGGATTATTAGATCAGCTGGTCGTGAGTCTGAGCCTAGCTGGCAAGGTTATAGGGTCATTTGGTGGATCAGTATTTTGGCAGTAAGTTACCAGGTTAGAGTGTTTATTGGATCAGTAGGTCAGCTGGTGATCCGGTGGATAGGCTCGAAGTCAAATGGGTCGATTGATGGGTCAGAGTTTCACCAAGTCGGTGTATTGTATTGGCCTCGGTGTCTTATAGAGTCAGAGGGTGGGCAAGTCGGGTGTCGGGTTCATATATATTGTTGCGAAAGTATTTTATTGGGTCATAATGGTTTTCTTTAACAGTAAAAGTTTGAAACTCAGAAAAAAGAACAAATCAACGTGATAAGACTGAAATCTATTAGTGGCTTTATTATTACTTGTTTTATTTCACCCTTATACAACTCATATATATTATTTTGTATTGTATCTGTCTATCTATATAACTTCACCAAATGAACCAAATACCGAGCCCCTGCCATCACGAAAAACTTAAGTCCAAACAAACTATTCCCCAGCATCGAAATATAACTCTAAATAAAACACCCATCCCTGGAGAGACTCATACCAAAGCTTGGCAAAACCCTCAAAATAATGACGTAACAAGGAAAATTACGAATATTGATTAAACATAAGCCGAATAATAACCACAATATATTAAGACCGGGGGTAACTCATAAGGAATACAAGGAATAAGTCTAACACACAGGACCACATAATATGTATCCCATAGAACCAAAGCCTCCCCGGCCACCTTTGTCTTCCAACAATAATTGTTTTATCCCGATTGATACAACTGGGCAGCGAAGCTAAGCCTAATTAGCATAACTGGCCACATTAACATAATCGCAAACATTTGCATAAATTAATACGAGTATTTCCACAATCATAATTTATGCGCATAATTACATACATTAGTATAATTTCTGCGATTTACGCATTTTCGGGAATCTTAATTTAATTTTCGTTATTTGTATTACAATTTCATAACCCGATATATACAACAGTATCCTTCATTCCCCCCACACATGGGGACATGGCAAAATATCGCGTGGTGGTTGGAGCCGGTCTTATCATATTTGGAGCACTTAAACACAAGCGGTATTGCTCTGTGTTTGATGGTAAAGTGTGCTGCTACATTTGACACTTTGCCCAGTTCTCTACAGATTTTGCAAAAAGTGTCAGAGCAAGGCAATGGAACTGTGATGGTGTCACCCTTCGTGTCAGAAAGGTTATTTTGCTAACACAAGTTCCTCAACTGAAAATTCAAGGAGGGGCTCATCACCACCACCATTATCCTGTGGAGGGTCGTCGGGCTCAAATAGAATGCTCATTTCAGTGTAACTGTCAATCCACCTCGCCATCTTCCCTCTTCAGAGAAGAGTTATGAAAGGTAATGGATTTTTCCAGGGTCATCTCTCAGCTCAATCTGGGCATCATAGGACATGCAACTTCTGATGCCCAATGGACATCTTCATAATGCGTCTGGGTTGATACCGAGACAAATAAGAATTTCATAGGACGCCGTTGCCATGAACTGTTGGTGTTGCTTAGGTAATGGATGGATCGCCAACCTGAGCGCCACCCATAGCACGTTGTGCATTAACCTTGTTGCCCATCGTCAAGAATACCAACTCAAGACGATGTTACCATCGGGACCACGTGGAGGCCAAGGTTACTATGACTCGTGTTCCTTTCCCAGAGGAACGTACCTTTAAGATAGTCATAGTTAAGAGTCATAGTTAATTTAATTTCTTCACTTTGACATTCAGAGCACTGGGCAGAAATCACATCGTGTCAACACCCATTCACGAGCCGTTGTGATGCTTTGTTTTACTGGTAGGAACGAAGTGGACCAGCCTACAATAGATTATATCGTCCGTCCGTCCATCCGTCCGTCCGTGTAGCAACATCGTCCCCTACTGCAAACACTTGGCATGACCCTACAAAAACCTTTAGACTCAGTGACGCTTTCCTGGCTAAACAAGTGTAACATTCCCTTATAATTCCCTCAGATAGCTTTTAATTAAAACATTTAAATTAATGAGGCTTTCCTGGCTAAACAAGTGTAACATTCCCTTATAATTCCCTAAGATAGCGTTTAATTAAAACTTGTAAATTAAAATTTAACTCACAGCGGCCTAAAGCCTACAGCTAGGCCTAAAGCCTCGAACAACGCCTCAAACTCTCCCTTCGTATCGTTCCCCCGCGTGTGTGCAAGGGAGTTAAAGTTTAACAATGTTACATTCCCTGATGCTTTTAAATAGAAACATTTAAATTTAAAGCTTTTACATAAATAATAAAAACAGTTAAATTAAAAATTAACTTACGGCGGCCTAAAGCCTACAGCTAGGCCTAAAGCCTAGACCTTGGCCTCAAACTCTCCCTTCGTATCGTACCCCCGCGTGTGTGAAAGGGAGTTAATGTTTAACAATGTTACATTCCCTGATGTTTTTAAATAGAAACATTTACATTTAAAGCTTTTACATAAATAATTAAAACATTTAAATTAACGATTAACTCACGGCGGCCTAAAGCCTACAGTTAGGCCTAAAGCCTAGACCTAGGCCTCAAACTCTCCCTTCGTATAGTTCCCCCGTGTGTGTGAAAGGGAGTTAATGTTTAACAATGTTACATTCCCTGATGTTTTTTAATAGAAACATTTCAATTTAAAGCTTTTACATTAAAAACAACTCCCTACCCCCCCCCCCCCCCTCGTCGGCGGCTCTCCAGCCGAGAGCCAGGCCTGGGAATCTCTCCCCCGCGAGGGGTGTATTGGGCGGGGCTACAGCGGCAGGGGGCGTAGGCACGAGGTGGAGGGCGGGGTTGGGGCGGGGCAACGGCGGCAGGGGGCGTAGGGACGAGGTGGAGGGCGGGGCTACGCGGCGTTGGGGCGGGGTTACGGTGGTAAGGGGCGGGGCAACGAGCTGGGGGCGGGGACACCAAGATGGGGCGGGGCCACGGGTGGCTGGGGCGGGGTTATGCGGGTGGAGGGCGGGGCCACGGGGCATCCACTTATTGGTGGCCATTTTTTGCCATTTCATTTTATTATAGCCATTCAATTGTTTGTTCCTACCAGCCCACCCCACAGGGTCCTGTTAATTAAAGTCGGATTCCCCTGGTCCGCACCAGTTCTAAGCTGGTTGCTAGACGCCGGCCGAGGAGACGCGTCGGCCCTACACCTTGCGGGGTCCTGGGACCTCGGGGAGGGCCACCGGGGCCACGCGGCCGCAGCCAACGAACCGCCGCAGCCGAGGCACTTCGCAGGAAGGGCCCGGCGCACGCCGGAACTCGTCCCCCAGCCGCCCGAGATGGTGGCAGGAGCCTCGCCCAGCCGCTGCGCACGCCCAGACCCCACCTTCGCACACCAGACTGACCGACCCAGCCCTTAGAGCCAATCCTTGTCCCAAAGTTACGGATCCGGCTTGCCGACTTCCCTTACCTACATTGCTCCAACAATGCAGGGGCTGTTCACCTTGGAGACCCGCTGCGGATATGGGTATGGCCCAAAGCGAGATTCAGAGCTCTCTCCTCCAGATTTTCAAGGGTTGACGAGGGCTCAAAGACGCCACATGAGCAGAGGCACTCTGCAGGGCCCAGGCCCCTATCTCGGGGCGAACCCATTCCATGGCGCCCTGCCCTTCACCAAGAAAACTCTCCCCAGGGTCCCCGCCAGCATCTCCAGGGTCGTTTGCGTTACAGCAACGGGTGACCTCTCTCCCCGCCCGAGCAGCACCAAGCAGGTGCTCTCCCATACACAACTCACTCGCCCACCACAGCAGCCGGGGATTCGGCGGTGCACTTTTCCCTGTTTACTCGCCGTTACTGGGGGAATCCTGGTTAGTTTATTTTCCTCCGCTTAGTAATATGCTTGAACTATGTCTCTGAATCACTGAAACTACACATCCTAAATTATTTGCGTGCGTCGAGAGACGGGTGTTGCCCGTCGATTGACCATCGGCCGGCCGGATGCACAGGCCGGCTACTTGGGGGGGGGAGGGGGAAGCCTGCAGGCGGGCATTGTGAGCGTGGCAAACGCGTCGCATGCGTCGAACAGGGTGCCACCATGCACTTCGGCCAAGCACTTTATTTCTAAACTCATATATGTAGATTTGGTTAAATTGACTGTCTTTTGCCGATTATTTCTGCCTCATGGGTTTTATAATTTGTAATGTGAACAACTCGACGTATCAGGGAAAATTGGATGAATGTTTCGATAGATTGTTTTTACCGCGTATTTGCACTCGAGATCAATATATGGTTGTCATAACAAAAACTGGTCTCGCTTCCATTTATTACTGTCATACAAGTGTGGGTATGTTGAACTTCCTTACATAACCAACTGTGCTTATCCGAGGCGTGGTGTGAAGGACAACAAACTAAACAGAAATCAGTTTTGTGTGCATGTTGAACCTATAACGATAGCTCGACAAAGCAGCATATCATTTGGACGTTCATGAATTGGAACCTTAAGACACCCCTGCCGCTTACATTTGGTCGTCACACGTGGTGGTGGCCATGTGTTTCTTTGCTGGGCCGGGCCCAAAATTCGGGGAGAGGGGAAAAGAAAAATGCTCTCCCCCACCACGTTGGTGCCGTCGTAAGCCACCTGAGCTGTACAGCAGAGTAGGGAGTGAGACAACCGCATTCACACCCCCACTAATCTGGGGACAGTTGCCGTGTGTAGCTTGGTTTCTCAATCGCCCAGCCACGTGGAGGGGAAGCCGCCACCAATACGAAACGCTACTTTATCATCTAATCCAGAGGCGGAGTTCTACTTCTTAATTGTAAACTACTGCAGGCGGCAACTCGCCAGACTCGAGAAGCTGGCGCGGGCACGGTCCAGCACCCCCTGCGCCCATTTTAAAACACATTCCTGCGAAGGGAGCTGGTAGGAACGTTGGGTTGCTCAGTCAATGGCCAGGGTCAACGGCGGCATGGTGTATTCCGCAAATATGCCCGACTGTGAGGGCGGGCACAAGCCGGCATGAGTAGGTTAAACGTTGAATTTTATAAGGGCACCACGGGGTGATCAAGCCCCTCCCCACCCAGCCGTACCCCTCCCACCCCCCATTCTCCCCACCCAGCCCCTCCCTGCACACCGGACGGATGGACACAATAATCCCCTGTGGGCTGGTGTAACCAGGTGGTTCCTACCAGTAACACGAATGCTTCTTACCCCACACAGCGCCACCCCTGGCAGACATGTGGTGGGGGTACCTTTTTATAGGACCTTTTTTTTTGCCCAGTAGCAAAGTTATGTCTTGGCATCTACATTTGAATTAATTTTTCTTTAACAAAATGATATTCCGATAATTAGCAATTTTTCGCTTATCTGTTGTTTATTATTGATGTATTTTACTGTGTTTTGTTGCGCATGTCAGAAGCGGCGGTGTCGTTTTTTGTTGATGAAACCCAATTTCAGAGTTTGTTGGCTCACCGGGTAATTCAAAATAAACTGATCAAGACATCGATTTGAGCAAAGTAAAAAAAAGCAAATCACAACAAATGCCGCGGAACTCAACCCTTTCCACACCAACAAAAAAATGCAATCCCAACACGGGTGGAGGGGGAAGCCGTTCATTAAAAATCAGTTATTTTTTTATTAAAATGGTTTGTGCATGTGACTTTTTTTTAAACAAATCAAAATGTTTTGGGACCAGACGGATAAGGCAGTGAAGGCAAGCAAGGCACGGTGGTGGCGTGGCCACGTCCACAGGGCCAGCAGCTGAAACGAGGTATCCTCCACACACAAAGACAAAGATCCCCCTGCCAGAAAGCCTAAGCAGACTGTTGGGGCAAGTGTTGTTAGGGAGTAGCAGCACCTATGAAGGCCGGCACGAAGGGGGGTGGGTGGTCCCGCCCTTTGTCTCCCCAGTGGCGATGTTTATTACACACCGCACCAGGTATGCATTTGAGGCCGAGTCGACCTAGAGGGGAGGCTCAGAACCGGTTCAGATAATCGTCACTGGTGTTGGCGGTTGCCATGAGCGGGAATCGAAGTGGGCTTGCCAGGTTCATCATGCTGACCTCTACGCCACCACTACCCATACACACGTCAGCCGCGCTGAGACAGTGCAGAGCCGGCCGGGCATGGCTCAGGAAGCGGGGGCGAGGTTGTCTTTCCACTGCAGCCATTGCACGGTCTGGTTCCAGCTCAGCACGGCAAATAGCCAGTGGAAAAACCACCTGCATCGTGGGGATCCGGATGTGCCAGTGGATAAGTTGTATTAGAAGCCGGCGAATTCAGGAAAATGTCCACTGAGCTATGTAGCTCTTATCAGAAAGCGACTTGGGTCATCACAAATGATAGCACGCCAAAGTGGCTGTCGCGTGGGTTTTCCATCCACTATTTAGAATCAACGTGCGTTTTGAATATTTGGCGCCTACAAATCCCCACGTGACGCGACCACAGAGAAAGAAAGACGCCGCAAACTCCAAATATACAGCAGGCGTCTGGGGTCAGGATGGAACCCACGATCTCCTGTATACCAGGCGAGGTAGTTAACATTTCCTATCCACAATCTGGTGTGGGCTGTGAGCAAGAATCAACTCGGGTCACCGGGTTTGTAGCGCATCACAGCACTGACAGCTACGTTACCGCTCCCCACACCGATCTGACACGCGCTTACACACGCCATTCAACATTTGACAATTAAAACAAATATCCACACAAACTTTATTATTTGCACCATACCCCTTATTATTAAAACCAGAAATTTGTCTTTTTTAAAACGAGGACCGCCAGTAAAAAATTTGGCAAAACGTTACGGACTACAGACGACTCGACATAAGGGTTTCTTACAGGTTTCCCACGCTCAATGCGGATCCGGTCCGTGAAATTTCAGGCCATACATGTCAACACGCGACCAGCCCACCTCATACCCAAAATTCCACAATATTATTAAACGCAGTTTGAATAATCAGAATCTTGAATATGTATAGTTATTCTGGAGGAATGCAACGAGCTACGAAGTCTCTATCAAAATTTGTCCAGTGGGACATCTGCGGATAAAATCGTCCGAATTCACACGCATAAGTCAGCCAAGTGGCTGGACGTGGGACAACGTTGCACGCAGCTCGACACGCAGCCAGCCATGTCCCCTCATGCGTGCAGCACATTGTAGGGTTGGGCGACTCTGCGGTGCCAAGCCATGCCGTTTCTCCTTAGCACGCCGATTTTATTGGAAAGTATCTACTACCAGTGTAGAGCGAGGGAAACCTGCACTTTAAAACAACAGCAGCAGCGACGATGGATGTGCGGAAAGACCCCGGCGGTCACGCCGGCCGTCACCAGACCGGGCCCAATGGTCTTGACCCCGCTTCCCCTGCTGCCACCCACTCCATCATCCCCCCCACTCCCCCAACCGTGGCTCATTGCTGCGCTCAGCCCAGGCTGGGCAGCCCAGCTACTATCTCGTCCTCGATCCCGCACTCGTTGCTCCCGCGGAGGATCTTAAAGAAGCCTGTTAACCGGAGGACCAGCCATGAGGAACACACAAAAACAAAGACACACACACACACAATCAGGGGCGAGTGAACACCCAAACCGCTGTTTTAGTTCATTTTTGTCTTTGTCCATCAACAACCCCCCTCTCCGCTGCCCCACTGTGTGTTTGTAGCGAACTGTGCCGAAGGATCCATTGGGGCATTTTGGTGGTGGTGTACGTTTGTGTACAGTTGTTGCGTGTGATCTTTGCCGTTGTGGGGAGTGGTAGTGTAGCAGTTAGCTCGCTGTGCTACAAACCCAGGCATCCCAGGTTTAGATTCCCACCTCACGGCCAACACCGGTGACAATTATCTGAACCGATCCTGGGCCTCCTCCTCTAGGTCGACTCAGGCTCAATTGAGTACCTTGTGCCATGGTGTGTAAACATCGGCACTGGGGAAACAAAGATGGTCGGATGTGGTGCTGGCCACCCACTCTTTCGGAGACCGTTCCAGCCATCATAGGTGCATGCTGACAGTACTTGCCCCAAATGTCTATTCGGGCTATAAGGGGAACCTTTGTCCATCTTGTGTTTGTGTGAAAAGTGTCCCATGACCTCCTGCCAGTGAGCCTTCCACACTTCACGTAAAAGTCTCAAAAGTGCACCTAGCCTGGCACACGCGGTTGCGCGGACATCACTTTCGCTTAGCGGTGAATTGGAGGCTGTTATTATTGTTGTTGGAGGGTATACTTTGGTGTGCGCGTGTCGGCACGTGTCGTGTGCGAGCCCGCATCGGTAGTGTACCCACACGTTTGGCGGTATGTTAGCGTGTTGCACTGCGTATGCATCTGCACGTGTGTCACGCTGCGTCAGTGCACGCCTGTGCATGCATTTGTGTCTGGCGGAGTGCATATGTGAGCGTACGTTGGTGTATGCGTGCGACTATGCAGTCTGCATGTCTGTGGTGCGTGGTGTGTGTGGTACATGGCGTGTGCATGGTCTGGATGTCGTGCGTGTCCTTGCACCAGTGTGTGTCCCTGCGCGATGGAGTAGGCTCGTGATGGATGCTGCTACTGGGCAGATGGAGGCAGTCGCTCTCCAGCAACAACGGAGAGCAGAGGAGCGACGCTCACATCAACGAGCGGAGCGCCGGGCGGCTAAAATGCAGCAAGTTGGCAGAGTAGAGGGTACAGTTGGTGCAACTACCGGTCATCTCAGTCAACCAATCCATGGGACCTGCTGGGTCTGTCGCGAGACCTCCTGTCAGCGAGCCTTCGACACTTCACGTGGCCTCAAAATGCACCTGGCCTGGCACAAGCGCCGAGGTAACGTCACAGCCACGGGGTCACTTAGTGGCGCATGGCGGGTGTGCGTGGTGTGTGTGCGTGCGTGCATGTGTAACGGGTTCCGGAGGCACTTGTAGAGGTAACTTCTTTATTACGATTCAACACTCCAACAGTCCAACAGTCCTGATACTCTGTAACAACTCCCAGGTACACAGCCTCGGTACACTACTCTGGCTACGCTCTGGAAGGTCGGCCTCACAAGGTCGTAGAGTCGGGAGTTCCAGAGTCCCACCACTGGCTCTCACAGCGTCCCAGGGTTCTCAGATGGCTGGTCTTGTGTTTTGGGTCTTGAGCTACGACTGGCCCTGATCGTCCAGGGAGCTCCCCTTTTATGCCCAGTCCCCAACGAGGGGTGGGGCCGTGTGCGCCCCCAGATATCCCACAGAGCACACACAGCCCCCCCCCTTTGGCAGCGCCAAGGGGATTAAGCGCCTGGGAACCCAACGCCTGACGCCAAGAGGCTTAAGCGTCTGACCCGCCTGGGAACCCACGCCTGGCGCCAAGAGGCTTAAGCACCTGGCCCGCTCAGGGTCCCAGAGCCCCCAGCAGCCCCTCCCTTCTTATGTCACTACACATGTGGCATGCGTGGTGTGTGTGCGTGCTTACCATGGTCGCCCCAGTCCGCGTTCCAGGAGTTGGCTACCAACCAGTAGGGCACTCCGCCCTCCACCCCCCAGCCCAGGATCTTGATGGCGTGGCCCCCCAGCTCCTCGCCCGCCACGTGTTGGTACACTCCTGCAGCACAACCACACCACCACCACAACCACCACCGGCACACCACTGTCAATTCCTACACAACCAACAGAGTTAACCCCTACACACCACTGTGTTAACTCCTATGTAACCAAAACCACAACACTATCACCACTGTGTCAATCCCTACATAATAATAACACCACCAAATCCTACAGGACGTCACCAATGTGTGTAGACCGCTTACACATCACCACCAATGCCACCACGTCTCAACAGCCCCCTTGCAGACTACCACCACCGTGCGTCAAATTCCACAGCATACAAAGACAAACATCCCCCATAGCCTTTAATAGACCGTTGGGGCAAGTGCTGTTGGCGAGCAGCCCCTATGAAGGCTGACACAGTACACGCGGGGGGAGCTATCCAGCACCACGCCCGGCCGGCCACCTTTGTCTCCCCGGTAACGATGTTTACACACTGCACCAGGTACTCATTAAAGGCCGAATCGATCTAGGGGAGGGGCTCAGGACAAGTTCAGATAGCTGTCACTGATGTCGTGGTGGCCGTGGAGAAGGGATTCGAACTCGGAATACAGAATCTTAATTTATCATCCTTGAGAAATCCGATGAGCTACGAAGCTCTTCTTCACAGATGTCCATTGGGGGGGCGGGCGGATAGGCCGGATCAAGGTTCTTGTAGGCCTCAGGTACTTTCGGTTCTAGTAGGCCCTAGGCAATTGTTTCGTCAGCTTTCTGTGATATCTTTCTACGGTTGGCACTGCTGCCCCATGTCACTACTGCCGCCGCAGTCACTCACTAAAGCCAATTTTAAAAAACAACCGTCTCCAATCAACGATAGGACAGCAACGCTTCCTTGTCCTCCCATTGCACTGCTGCTCTATATTTAGATTAGATGTTTGGAAAACAACACCATATGAAGATGCCAATTTGCTAATTTTGCAATGAACAAAAATCTTGAAAAGTTCATCTCCTGTGTTTCATTTCTCTCTTACCTTATGATAAAAAACGACTGACACGACTTTGTCTATTTGTATGAACACGGTACCTATCCTTGTTATATATATATATACACACATTTATTCAAGAGGATATCTTGATTTAAAGCTTTCGTGACTGCAGGGATTAATCTTCTTGGTTCTTTCGGTAAAGTCACGTAGAATGGAAATAATAAAATAATAAAAATAAAACATAATAAAGTAATTCTCACGACGTTTCGGCCACAACGCAAGCAGCCGTCCTCAGGTGAAGAACAGGTCTGTCGAGAAGACAGAGTCTGAATGACACACTCCAGGCTTGGAGTCTCTATTTAAGCTGGGAGGGAAGAGGAAGAGCGCCTTGACAAAAGAATTTGCATATCAAGAGGAATTTTAGCATATTTATGGAAAATGCAGATATGCGATTAGTACTACTTGTGAAATGCGTGGAGGTTTGGCGGAGGGTTTAAAGTCATATTTTGCCCGTGTATTATGCAGGATTAGCAGCATCAAAGGGAGGTGATAGGGGGAAGCATTAATAAAGGGAAGGAATGTTAATAGTATGTAGCTGCAGTAACTAAACCACCACGTATCATCAGTATACTAAATATACTCTCCAATAAGCTGAGCTACTAACAGTAAGTAATACATGCTTCCAGCTAAACTTTATTCTCTTACATCACACGGGTCTACCCCGTACTATATACTCGGTCGTAGTGGCTTCTTGCTGAGCATTTTCCCTATTTTGCACCGCTATCATTTTTGTTACTATATTGCTTTAAAAAATAGGAAAAAAACGAAGGAAAACAAAAAGGAACCTATGTGACTTTACCGAAAAACCCAAAGAATATTAATAAAGGAAAACACAACAAAGAAAACTCAAAGAGCTTCAGAGCTCATTTTATTCCGGTCCGGTCTAAACATAACAATCAGAACTCACCGGACTTGTACTGTGGGAAGTCAGCGTAGACGGTGAAGGCGGCCTCCACGGGGCCGTTGTCGAAGATCTCCTGCTTGATCTGACCCTCGTCGGAGTCGATGTTGTATGCCTTCTTACCTGCACGCACGCACCACACACACCACACACAGACGCGCGCGCGCGCACCACACGCACGCGAACACACCACACACACACCACACGCAAAGGTGGGGGGGGGGGGGGGAAGAGTTGGAGATGTAAGCGATGGTGATGTTATTGTTGACACCTATGAGTGATGGCCATGTGAGTGATGACACCGAGTCTCGGGAGACGGCTGAGAGCAACGCTCACCACCAACGACAAACCTCCAGCCCATGGCCCTTCAACATCACAACCACCACCGCCACTATCATCATCACCAACAAAGACAAAGATCCCCGTGTAGCCTGAACAGACTGGTGCGGCAAGTGCCGTTTAAGCGAGTAGCACCTCCTACGATGGGGTGGGGGGGGGGGGTGGTCAGTATCATGCCTGGCCGCCTTCTTCTCCCCGGTGGCGATGCTTGTGGCGCACGCCGCACCGGGGCACTCGTTTAAAGATGGCCGGGTCGACCTCGGAGGCTCAGGACCGGTGTGGATATTCATCTGGTGTTTAGGCCCCAAACAAGAATCGAACGGGGACCCCCCGCGCTGCACAAAAGCGTGCGCGTAAATATTTATGTGCATACATGCGTGCATGTAGATGTGCGTGCACGTTCGCGCGCGAGCAGTCGTGGCCGTGCATGTGTCGGCGTGCGCGTGAAGGCGGCCGGACGTGGTACTGGCCACCCACTCCCTCGTGTGCAGGTCCAGCCTTCATGGAGGAGCTCGTTAACTATAAACCAAACTATAAACTATTTTTATTTTACCAGGATAGGCTCACTGAGCTATGTAGCTCTTTTTCAGAAACGCCATGGCCACAAATGATAGCTCAATGAAGTGGCTTATCGCGTGCAAATTTATAACAGCATACCTGCCAACCCCTTATCAGTGCCTACATTATTACAGGCCAGTTCAGACCTAGTTGGCCACAAATAGATGAAAATTTTTTGGCTGTATTAAAACGGCTGTATGTCATATGGACTTGAAAACTATTTCCTTGTACAATAGTACTTGTAAACTGTATGAATTGGCAGCGACGTAACAGCCAAATACTCTTAAAGGCATGATGTTGATTCGAAATGTGGAGAGACAAACTGGAGGACCTGGAAAAAATCCATGCTACCATGGGGAGAGAGAAACACGCAAACTCAAAATATACAGCAGGTGGTTCGGGAACAAACCCACGACCCCACGACCTCCTGTATACCAGGCGAGGTAGTTAACATCCTGTCCAAAAAGACTGTTCAGGCTATAGGCGGGGGGGGGGGGTCTTTGTGTTTGTAGATATGTTTGCACGCGGGCATGCAGATGTGTCCGTGTGTGCGTGCAGGTTTGTCCGCATACCAAAGTACTTGTCGGCCTTGTAGTGCGGCGTGTATCCTGGCACGCACTCGTGCATGCACTTGGGCGTGGGGCCCTCCCCACTGCACGGCGGGCGCGAGCCATTCACGTGGTGCTCACACGGCTTGATGGAGTAGGGGCGGCACCCTGCAGCGCGTGACACACGAGCAGCGTCACACACGAGCAGCGTCACACGAGCGGAGTCACACGAGCGGAGTCACACCGCAAGCCGCATCACACACACATCGCCACACCGCTACTCGCCCCGCGCAAGTCACGCTCGCTGAAAACACATGCACACCAGGACGCAGCGTCGCACTCTGGCAAGCGCACACCATCGTCACACCTCCACACACGGTCGCACATGAGCAGCCGTAGGAACGTATCAAATTGTATCAACTCAAGGGAATGGAAGGTGAGGTCAGGCAAGGTCAGGGGAGACCAAGTAATGTTAGATCAAGCCAGGGCAGGCCAGACCAGGCCACAATCAGGGCGGGCCATGGTAGACAAAGCCGAGGGTTGCAGCAAGGGACAGGTTACCCTGTCCGCTGCCGTACTGGCCGCCGGTGACCAGGCCGGCGCTGGTCCAGAAGTTCCAGGCCTGGGAGGGGTAGCCGCCATCACAGCCCATGCCGCACTCATCGCAGCAGGAGAGCAGGTCCTCGGCCGACACGTGGGGGTTCACCTGGCCCTTCGAGTGGATGCAGAAGCGGTCAGACATGGCCTCCACGGCGCCAAACGCCTGCACGAGGAGAAGGGGGGGGGGAGATACACCCACGCAGACACACAGGGAAGGGGAGGGGGGGAGATGCATGCACGCAGACACAGGGGGAGAAGTAACGAGCGTGAACACACCACGTGTCAACGGTGAGGAGGTCCAGCATGCAAGCTGCACAGGAGTATCATTAAATGACGATAATAAAAACGTGAACTTGCAACACCGTGACACCGCTGCGCAGTATTCGCTCGCTCACTCTCGGAGAGAGAGAGAACGACCCGGAGGCACGAAGTGGAGGAGGAAACACAGACGAACAAGGGAGGCAGCAGCCACGCGGCGAGTCGCCACCAAAAACTGGGCGCCACGAGGGCCGGGCATGGTGCTGGTCACCGAGCCCGTCGTGTGCCGTGCCGGCCTTCATAGGTGCTGCTCACTATCAGCACTTGCCCCAGTCTGATAATTGTTTTTTTACCCTTCTATCTGGCAACAAAACTGACACCTTTTTTACAAGGAGTCATGTTTGCATAGACCACAATACCTGCAGTCATAATGCAAACAAAAACATAACTCTGATAATGTATGCACTGTCCTTGAAGTTGATTGGTCCACACCCGAGACAGCTTTCCTTAGAGCCTAGTCTCACATTGGTTGGACCAGATGACGCCAAAAGGCGCACAACTCAAAGACAATGCACCATCAGAGTATGAGAGCTCGGGGTAAGGGTAAAAAACCAGTTATCATATTTTTTTATTGGCAAATGAGGTTCCAATGGTATAAATTCTTACCCCGAGCTCTCATACTCTGATGGTGCATTGTCTTTGCGTTGTGCGCTTTTTCGCGTCATCTGGTCCAACCCATGTGAGACTAGGCTCTAAGGAAAGCTGTCTCGGGTGTGGACCAATCAACTTCAAGGACAGTGCATACATTATCAGAGTTATGTATTTTTTTGCATTATGACTGCAGGTATTGTGGTCTATGCAAACAAGCTGTCAGTTTTGTCGCCAAATAGAAGGGTAAAAAACCAATTAACATATTTTTTTACTGGCAAATGAGGTTCCAATTGCCCCAGTCTATTAAGGCTATACGACACATCTTTGTCCCGTATATGCATACGCATGTGTACGTGCACGTGTGTGTGCACACACGCGAGTGTGCGTGTTCGCGCGTGTGTCCGCGCGTGTGTCCGCGCGTGTGTCCGCGCGTGTGTCCGCGCGTGTGCCGCGCGTGTGTCCGCGCGTGTGTCCGCGCGTGTGTCCGCGCGTGTGTCCGCGCGTGTGTCCGCGCGTGTGTCCGCGCGTGTGTCCGCGCGTGTGTCCGTGCGTGTGTCCGTGCGTGTGTCCGTGCGTGTGTCCGTGCGTGTGTCCGGCGTGTGTCGTGCGTGTGTCCGTGCGTACCCAGCAGGAGCCGCAGGAGCCTTGGTCGCGCAGCTCCCCGATGGTCGGGCAGTTGGGCCACTGCGTGCGTGCGTCAAAGCTGTCGGGCAAGCTCTGGGACACCTTGTGTGTGCTGCACACACAACCAATTAACACACGCGTTACACACACACAAAGTCTGTCCACCCTACCCATATAGCCTTAACAGACTTTTAGGCCAAGTGCACACGAGGGGGTAGGTGACCAACACCATGCCCGACTGCCTTTGTCTCCCTAGTGGCAATGTTTACACACCAGACCAGGTTACTCATTTGAGGTTGAGCCAACCTAGAGGAGGCCCAGAACCGATTAAAGATAATCGTCACTGGTGTTGGTGGCCGCGAGTGGCAATCGAACTCTGGTCGTCGGGTTCGTAGCGCAGCGTGCCGACCGCTCCACTACAGACACGTACACACATCATTACACATGTGCTCTCTTAAGCACACACATGACACAATCACTCGCAGCAGTGGTGATGGCACTGCCACTAAGTGGCAGTGCCATCACCACGGCGCTTGTGCCAGGCTATGTCCACTTTGAGGCCACGTTAAGTGTCGAATGCCCGCTGGCAAGAGATCACGGGACAGACCCAGATGCCATGGGTGGACTGACTAAAGGTCACTCAACAACGGCGATAACCACCGCCATTCGCCACTAAGTGGTGGTGACGTCACCATGGCGTTTGTACCAGGCTGTGTGCACGTTGAGGCCATGTGAAGTGTCAAACGACCGTTGGCAGGAAATCACGGGGCAGACCCAGGTAGCATCCTTCACGAGCCTCTTTCACAGAGGTCGATCTTGACACCACTGGTACCAGTTATCGGCCAGTCCACTCGGCTCCACGTCGTCCCATACCACATCAGGGGGTTTAAAGTCATTATGCCCATGCATTATGCAGGATTAGCAGTATCATGCATGGACATAATGACTTTCAACCCCTCGCCAAACCTCCTACGCATTTCACAAGTAGTACTAATCGCATATCTGCATTTCCCATAAATATGCTAAATTCCTCTTGATATGCATATTATTTTGTCAAGACGCTCTTCGCCCCTCCATCCCAGCATAAAGTCGCTCCAAGCCTGGGGCGTGCCATTCAGACTCTGCCTTCTCGACAGACCTGTTCTCCACCTGAAGACGGCTGCTTGCGTTGTGGCCGAAACGTCGTGAGAATTATTTTATTATGTTTTATTTTTATTATTTTATTATTTTCCTTCTACGTGACTTTACCGAAAGAACCAATAAGATGAATCCCTGCAGTCACGAAAGCTTTAAATCGAAAGATCCTGAACTTGATTTAACTTCACAACCGTTCCGGACCAGCACACCAAGGTTAACGGCCGAGAAGGTTACGCGGACCTCCGTGCACCACGAGTCTCTCTCTCTCTAACACGTAGTAGTAGGGGGCTTTCACGACCGAATACTATGCATAATGAGAAGGTTATTGGGTTGGATCGCATAAACAGGAGGATTTTTCCACAATTCTGTCTGTGGCCTGATGAGGCCAGTTGTCATTTGTTTACCTTTCTTGTACTTTGCACTCAATCATGTTTTTGTACGGTTTGTTTTTGTTGTAACGTTCTTACCCTACTGGACATGCTTACCTATAAATGTCATTTTTTGTGTGTGTGTGTGTGTGTTCGCACACTTTGGCTCTCAAACGGTGGGGTTTACATTTTTTAAAAATAGCCAGGTACCACGCCGTAAGCCCCATGGTGAGCAAGCGGTATTGCTTTTTCCCATCCCTCAACTTTAAAGTAGTTAAATTAGCGATTTAGTGAGATGCATCGTTATTTATTTATTACACGCGCTCGACCATACCAACTCACACGCCTTCGGTGGGGAGACGGCCACTACCAAGTCACACGCGATCGGTGGGGGTGATGGGGACATTTTCTTGAGTGTTAAAAATGCAATAAAATTACGCAAAACGATGCTTGCAGTTACTACTATAGAGTCCGTAAATGCTACCACTATAGGCCATAGATATTACTGCAGAGCAGGCGGGAGGATTGTGGCTGGGGGGGGGGGTAGTAGCAGCCCAGCCCCAACCTGCCAAGGTGCCACCTCAGCAGGCTGGGCAATCTAGGCGAGGCCGGGGGCTCTGCACGGGACTAGGCCTTACCACGGCCATGTTAAGTACAATTTTATTGCTTCTTTCGCTAAACTCACGTTGATAGAAAAATATTATTTAAATAATCACCTTGCAAATATTACATTAATAATTAGTATTTCTTGCTTCTTTCGCTAAACTGACGTACATAGAAACCTAATAACGGAAAGTACCCGGCGTTGCCTGGGGAAAAAAGACACGCACAGACCTACACACACACACATTTGTACTTTTAGAGCAGGTTGGCAGCAAATGAGTCATTTTGGCACAAAACAAAAAACGCCATCAGGGTGGTATCTTGTGGAGCCAGGGCCTGTTGGTCATTTCATTTGGTGAAGTAGATGCGTTGACCATTTTCGAGTTGAACTGCCAAATGGACGACTGTGGGGGAACGCTCATGGATGGGGGAGCCAAGAATTATCCAAATGGCCTCATTGCTGCTGATGTATCTTCCTTGGACAAAAAGTTTAACCTCATCCACACTCTGCCCCTATTTTTGTAAGGCAAAGACAGGCATGTCAGAGCTGTTGTTGATGTATTTGCAAACATTTGATGGCTTGCACAGAATTGCAGAATTCCACATTAATGTGGGCCTCGAAGATCTTGCACAGAAGAGGGTGATCCACTGGTTGTCAACCTTCATTTCAGAGTTCGTGGGGCAGGTCTGAGTGTTGTTTAAAATCCACCATGCTCAGTATTTCTGTGACGATATCGATAGACATCATGGCCTGAATTGAGTGTCTTCAAGAAGTTGCGTGGATACTTCTTGGTACACCTGCGGTCTTGAATACATGGCGAATTTAGATTGAAATGCCCACATGGGCCATGGACCATTTGCTTGCAGACCACATCAAATAGGGCAGGTTCTTGATGGGGGTCAAGTAGCTCAGCACTGACAAATGTGTCAATGTCACTTGCATGAATTTGTTTGTCATCCACAGCAAAATGTGAGCATGAGGAAGAGCACGTTATTGCCACTCAAATGGTGTGCAAGTTACATGTTGTCTTTCCAAAGACACCGCCTTCCTTAGTCGTAATAAGCTTCAGGAGTTCGTCAACTTTGAGTTTGAAGACCCTTGCAATGATGTCACGCGTGTCTGCTGCCTTTTGGTTTGGATAAAGCTCAACCTGGATCTCCTTCCATTTAGGATTGCAAGTGAAGGTGATAAAAACATGGGGCCTGCCATATTGCCTGATGTACGTCATGGCATCCTGAGTCTTCTCATGCATGTATCTCGGTCCACCTGTGGTGGATGAAGGCAAAATAACTAATCTTCCCACATTATGAGCGTTCGCATGTATGTCAGCATTGATAGTCTCCCTGAGATGAGCGCTGTTCCATACGCAGGCGTTTTTTAATTAAGTTGAATGTAAAGGTGCACTCTCAATTTTGGCACAAATCGAAAACATACTGAGTTGAAGAGGTTGGCGCACCGTAATGTGGTTTCCTCCTTCTCTGTCCATAATGAAGGAATAACATTCTTTAGAGGAGACAGTTTTGTGAGGATGCCTTTGTCATGTATCTTTGATAATTTGAGGAATCTGGATGGGGTACCCGTCTTGGAATTGCCAAAGTAAAATGGGGTATTGTAGGGCATTATATGCTTGACTTGTCAGGAAATCGTGTGATGGTGTTGTCTTCGTATCGAAGCACAAGGTCTCATACCGACTGTGGTGGTACCTGCTTTCACTACAGCAGTGCATACTGTGGCAGCACCTGCTTTCACTACAGCAGGGCATACCGACTGTGGTGGTAACTGCTATGATTACAGCAGTGCATGATTGTGATGGTACCTGCTATGATTACAGCAGTGCATACTGTCTGTTGTGGGACCTGCTATGATTACAGCAGTGCATACTGTCTGTGGTGGGACCTGCTATGATTACAGCAGTGCATACTGACTGTTCTGGTTCTTGTTATGATAACAGCAGTGCATACCGACTGTGGTTCACCTGCTTTGATTATAGTAGTGCATACCGGCTGTGGGTTGATGTATGTGTGCAAGTCGATGTGTGTGTGTGGGTCCATGTGTTTAATGTTCGGCAGAAGTTCGCTGCGCGAAGGCGGGGGGAGGCCGAGACACCTCTCGCCTGCCTCAGCGTACTGTCGTTAGCACAAGCAGCTTTTCCCAAGATGGAGCAAGCTGGCTTGGAGTCGTTGGTGTTGGAATGTATGCTGGCCTTGGCGAAGGAGCTTAATGTTGCCCTGCCAGCAATGGAAAAAGACTATTTATCGTCCCTTAAGATCTCCCAGTGCATTCAAGCACATTGAATTTGAAACAGCGTACGCAAGTGGTGGCGTGTACCGCACCTTCTGAGATGTGCGGTGCAACCAAAGAAGTGGAGCCCGCTCAAGCGTGCAATTCGGTCAACGACGGCGGCTAGCGGAGGGGCGCCTCAGAGCAGTAGGGAGAACCCAACTGACGGCAGGGGACCTCTTCTCGCATGGGGAGCGGCTCCGTCCTCTGCTACGATTGCGGTCTGCCGGGACACATTTCGACAGGATGCCGCACTGCTGGGACGAGATTCTCTGGGCCGTCGCTGTCATCCCTGCGGATGTCCCCAGGCCTGCTTGGTTCTAAGGCGAGTCATGGCTCACCTCACATTCGACCCTTACATCCACTTCATTCATCCCGTTAGGTTGTCGGTTCGCGTTCTCGCAGGGCACGTTCTTGGTTGGTTGCAGGGCAGGATGATTCGGTTGTACGGGAAAATGGCTGGTCACACCACCCTGCTCAGTAGTCGGAGTTGGCTCACCCTGTGGTCGTCGCAGGGGCGGGGACGTCGGCCGTTGTTGGGCAAGTACAAGGGGTAGAGGTACGGGTACTCAGACACCGGAGCATCCGCTACTATTATTTCAGTTGATTTTTAACATCCTACCCTACACGGTTCAGGACCTTTGTCCGGTTACAGCTCCGTGCTTTGCCACAAACGGTGGCTCCCTCGGAATGATTGGCCAAATAACAGCAATGGTGTGCATCGGTGACATCCAATTGACAGGACCGGTGTTAGTTTCAACTTCCCTTGCCATACCGTGTTTATTGTACACCGATTTCTTGGGGAAAATGCACCTTAAAATTTTAGTGGATCAAGGGTGCCTGGAACTGCCATCGGGCCGTCGCATGGTCTTTTTGGCTTCCCCCACTCGATTGCGTATGGTTAATGCCACGGTTCGGGTGCTGGCGACAAAAACGAATACTGATCCCCTTGCGGCTGCGGGACCAACTTGATAAACAGGCGACCGCTGAGGGAATCCTGCTCACACCATCTAATAAAGTGGCTCGGGATCTGACGCGTGGGAGCACAAACGCTGGTGTCCAACGACTGTGTACCCTTCAATCAGGTCCTGAATGCGGGGCCGGATGCGTCTGTTGTGCAGGCGGGCACTGTTGGCCCACATGTCTGTAGCGGATTATAAGGGTGATTTTGTTGGGGAAGTAGGGGTTGTGGGGTCCAAGGAACAAGGGTCGGGGATGATGGGAGTTGGATAAATGCGCTCTGCTCGGAGAACCCCGATTTATCGGATGGCTAGAGGTCAGAGTTGCACTTGCTCTTGGTTGAATTTGTTGACGTTTTCAGTAAAAGCAAATACGATATCAGCCGGGCCACCCTTTTGAACCACCACATTGACATGGGTGGCGCTGCTCCAATCCGTCCAAACCCCTACAGGTTAAGCCCCACAGAAAACAAGTGCATCAGGCAGTCCGTGGGGCGCTTCCATAGTTCTTGTTAAGAAGCCAGACGGAAGTCTACGGTTCTGCGTTGACTTCCGCAAATTAAATAAAATCTGTGGCTGACGCGTATCCTCTCGAGAATGGATGACTCGCTAGAAGCGTTGGCAGGTGCGAGATATTTCTCTACTCTTGACCTGCTTTCAGGGTTCTGGCGATTGCCCTTGGATGATGTTTCTAAACCGAAAACTGCTTTCCGTACACCACACGGCTCCCTATGGGCCTCCACTCGGCTCCAGCGACGTTCCAACGGCTCATGGAACTGATTTTGGCGGGCCTACAGTGGGGTTCTTGTTTGATCTACTTAAAGGATGCAATTGTTTTTAGTCGCACGTTCGAGGAGCACTTGAAACGGCTACGTGCGGTTTTTTTTTATTGCGGGCGGCGAACCTCAAATTCAAGCTGCAAAAATGTTATCTGCTGCAGAAGTGGGTGCGGTACCTGGGGTACATCGTTAGCAGGTCGGGAATAGCCACCGACCCCGATAAGACTGCGTTCGTGCGCGCTTGGCCGACTCCCAAGACGGTGGGTGAAGTACGCAGCTTTATTGGGTTCGTGTCTTACTATCGCCCCGCCCCTCCGGTACCCAGATTTTTCACTTCCCTTTGTCTTGGACACAGACGCCAGCATCACTGGCATTGGCGCCGTGCTGTTTCAAGTGGTGGATGGGGTAGAATGTGTCTTCGCGTACAGCAGCAGGGTGCTGTCCTCGACCGAGCAGCGCTACTGTGTCACGCGCCGGGAATTGCTAGCCATTGTGTTCTTTTTTGCAGCAATATCGGCCGTACCTCTATAGGATGACCTTTGAGGAGTTCTGATCACGCCGCCCTTCAGTACGCGCTGCGCATTGAATAAACATCCGGCCAGCTATCCCGATGGTTGGAGATCCTCCAGGACTATTCGTTTAAAGTTTCGTATCAAAAGGGTTCGAGCCATACGAATGCAGACGCGCTTTCGCGGTTACCACCACGCGATGAGTGCGCATGCCTTTCCGGCTCGGGGCGCAGTAAGCTGCCTGTCGAAGCCGTATCTCCGACGGTTGTCGCGTCCGTGGGGGGTGTGGGCTCTGACATTCCAGGGGGTCCTAAAAAGGTGCGATACCACCCTTGGTCTCGACCACGCAGAATAGGGGCGCCTGCAGGTGGAGGACGCCTTCTTATTGAAACTGCGGAGGCGTGTTTGGGACGCTGAGGTAGGGTGGTTGCCCCTGTCATCCTTTAGGAGGGATTGTTGATGTACTGGGACGGCGGGTTGCGCCGTTATGCTATCGTAGTATCCACTGCCCTGCGCGGCAGAATCATCTGGGCGGTGCATGAATGACTGCTGCACCTTGGGGTACATAAGACGCTCGTAACCATTAACTAAATTTTTTTTGGCCTGGGATGGCAGGGGACGTTGCCATAATGCTCAAAAGGTGTGTGGCAAACCCCTACCTAAATTGGGTTGTTCCCATTTGCAATCCATTCAAGTATCCCACAAACGAACTGGTTGGTTGGCGTTGAGTATTTTTCCCGCTGGCCTATGGCCTGGCCACTCCCCAATCAGTCGGCGACGGTTATCGCCGAGACGTTCCTTCATGGGTATGTGCTGGATAAGCGCCTCCTCACTGATCAAGGCAAAACATTTTTCTTCCAAATTATTGAAAGAGGCATGTGACTTGTTGGGTATGAAGAAAGTACGGACATCGCCCTATCATCCCCAGACTGACGGGATGGTAGAATGCCTGCATAGGACCATTACTTCCATGTTGAGTCAGCAGGTTTGTGAGTCCCAAACTGACTGGAACTTGCACATCCCTGGGCTCCTTACGGCCTACAGAATGGCCCCTCGCGCTTCCATTGGATATTCACAGTTTTTTTTATATATGGGAGGAAGCAGGACCCCCCTATTGACGTCCAACTACACTTGGGACCGGGCAAGGTCAGCAGTAGCATGCCTGCGCCTATACGCCTTACTCTTCAACGAGTGTCTGAGGCGCGGGAGGCCTCAAAGGAAAATTCGCCCTTACAGCAGTCAGGCAATGAGCAGTTGAGGGGGCTTCACCTGTCTGGCAAGCCTTGGTCGCCAGGTGACAAGGCTTGGCTGCATCTCCCTCAAGTTCCAATTGGTACAAGCCCTGGCGGGGGCCGGTCGACGTGATCCAGACCAATAGACTGCAGCGTGTGAAAATTCGGTTCGGTCGTCGGTGATGTGATGTTGGTTAATAAACAGTGTTGCCTCCAAGTCCTAGTGTGCGCCCCGATTGAACCCATTAAACTCGTAACGAATTGGCCACACTTTGTTTACATGACAAACCCTTACTAATTGGCTGTGTCGGATGGTGGCGAGTTTAACAACACATTAAACATAAAAAACGCCTGTATTATGGTCTCTCTCTCTACACCAGTTTCGTGGCTCATCGGATTTCTCCTGGACAAATAAAGATTTTGATTCCGTAAAAAGCACGCGACTTTTGTGCAGGCCGCCACCCCACTCCAGACCCCTCTGCCCGCCGCCCGCGGTGAAAACAGACGCCGCTCCTCCTCAGTGCAGTGGCGTCGTCGAATCTGCGATGCCAGCCTCTTCCTTCCTCCCTCTCCTCACCTCACCCAAGCCCTTTTCTCCCTTATCTCCTTTCCTTTACTCTTTGGTTCTTTCGGTAAAGTCACGTAGATAGGAAATTAATAGACTACGACGTTTCGATCGCAACACAAGCAATCGTGATCAGATGAGACCAACAACAGCAGCAGAACTGCTGAGGCAGGAGAAAGAGCTGCTGCAACAAGAGGTTATATAGGCTTGAGGTGGGCTCAACCCAATTCCCTTCTCCCCGCCGTTCATGTCCACATTATCCTCGAGCGACATCCTTGGCTGCGGCGTGCATAAAAGGGGCACAACAAAGTTACTCAAACCCCTTTCCAATTTGTAGAAAAAAAATCAGTTCCCTCTAAAAAAATGCCGCGAAGCGACAATACGAGCAGAAATCACGGACAAGCGGAGGGCTTGTGGGGCCGTTATCATCCGCTGGGGATCACCCTGTGTCCAGGAGAACGGCCGGTGAGTTGGGGAGGGGGGGGAACTCCACTGACCGTGTCGGCAGCTTGGGCCCTCCCAGCACGGTGCCGCACAACCTGCGCACGTCCTCCACAGACGCGCCGTCAAACGCGTGGCCCGCCTGCGTCCCACCACACATGCGTGCGAATGGGGGGTGGGGGTGGAGTGGGGGTGGAGTGGGGGGTGTAGGGTCACGACATGCGGCACGCCGGCGATTCAGTCACGATTCGTTTTTGTTGGACGAAGTTCATGATTAATTTCAGCGCTCGCCACGCAAGATGCCGTCGGGCTTTTTTATCGAGCCCAGAATTTTATGGCGAGACGACGGGAGAAGCGGAACACAAGAGGCGGGGAAGAGGACGTGGGGCCATGATGGGTCTCGGTTATAGGGCACCACGGTGGTTAGATGACCTCCCCGGGTATACATAAGGTCGTGGGTTCGAGATCCCGACCCCGAGGGCTGCAGTCTCTCGCTCTCCCTGTGGTCGCGAGGATTTTTCTCCCGTGTCCTCCGGTTTTTCCCCTCCACATTTACAATCAACACCACGCGCTTAAGAGTAGATAGCTGCTGCTATAAAATTCCACGTGATAATCCACTTCGTTGTTGCTTCTGATAAAGAGCTACACAGGCTTAGTGGGCCGTAACGGGTAAAATATATTCTTTTAGTTTAATGTTGTTTACATGCCGCCCGCTATATTAACAATATTATAACATTATATTATTATACTGCCTGTGAATGTTACCAGTGCTTAGTTAGCTTAAATATTTACAAGAAAACTTCAAGGGCACCTACACATACTGGGGAAAGGCACTGCGCTCTCTAGCCAGGCAGCACCGTCGCTTAGGGCACTTGGCTCGCGGGTTTCAACATGACGAGCGCTACCGCTGCCGAGGCGATGCGGCAAACAGCAGCGGCGCCGGTTGGGACGCGGAGCACAGCAGCATTGGAGGGGGCCCCACGGGTCCGGTGACCGAGGAGTGTGTGTGTGTGTGGGAGGGGCAAGTGCAGGAATTGTACAGGGAGTGCGAGCGGCGAGCAGTGTGCGCGAGCGGCGAGCAGTACGGTACCCTCTTCCTCACCTGCCAGGTGGTGCCCAGCGTGTTGACGTAGTTGGCCATGTACTTAGAGAGCGGAGGGAGCAGCGGGACGGACCGCCCCGCCACCAGACGTGTAGCGCACACCACGCACAGCAGCAACAGCACACGCAGCATCGTTCTGCAAATACAAAGGATTCCCCCGCGTAGCCTTTAACAGACTATTGGGGCAAGTGTTATTAGCGAGTGGCACCTATGAAGGCCGGCACGGCACAAGAGGGAGGTGGGTGGTCAGCACCATGCACTAGCCGCCTTTGGTTACCCCAGTGGTAATGTTTTAAGACACCGCACCAGGTACTAATTTTAGGATGAGTGAACCTAGAAGAGGCCCGGGACTGGTTCAGATAATCGTCATCGTTGGTGGCCGCGAACGGGAATCGATCTTGCGGTCGCTGGGTCCACAGTGCTGCGTGTGCACATGCACACACACTGAGGCATACACTGAGGCATACACTGAGGCACACGTGCGTGAGCGCGCATGCTACACAAAACATTTACACAGCAGTAATCGCACCTCCGATTTTGTACGGTCGGCTACGTACGGTGCGAAAGAAGTTCAACAAACATTCATACTGCCCATAGACTAACACTCCCCATAGATTAATACTGCCCATAGACTCAACACTGCCCCATCCGCTATGGACGGTGCGAAGAAAGTTCAACGTGTGTAGAAACATTCACCGATTCCGGATTTGTTTTGTTTATTATTTCGGCCGTCATCATAGACAACCTATGTGATATTCATCAAGTCTCAGCATGTGGATATATTTAGTCGATCCCTTAGTAAATGAGAGTAACAATAATAATTAGTATTATAATACGTCACGTAACACTCCTTTTAAAAAAAATGGCAAAAATTTGGTAACTATGCAACGTTTCGGAAAATGCCCCCCGCCCTGCCTACGTGCAGCGCAGATGAGCGCTTTAAAACATTCACTCTACAACAGTCACCGTGCTTAGCAAACTCCAGCATGGGAATTAATGAACGGCTTGCGAGAGCGCAAGCGAGCGGAACCCGCTGACTCACAGCCGATCTGGCAGTAATAGAGCCAGCAACGAGTACCTCGCACAATCACGGAGGAACTGTTGCCCAAATTATGTATATGTGAAGAGGTTTTCATGTACGTGTAGTGACATTGCGGGATGTCATCGTGTGATGCCGGCTCTAGAGATGCATGGCGTGCGGTGTATTGACATCGCGGACACACGAGGATGTGGGTGCAGTACCGGCCCCTGAGGGGCTTGGTCAGTGCTGATTGATACCGCTGGATGGCATCACACTTGGCGTGCAATGCCAGCCCTAGAGGATCGGATGAGAGAGTGCTGGCCATAGGGAATGGGTTACTGGAGGCCATGCACTCCGGCTGACCCAAGAGGACACGTGAACAATTAAGTCTACAAAGGGGCCCCAAGTGGGGGGCTGGGGGTGGTCACGTGGTCCGGGTTGAGATCCTGCTAGAGGGTTCTGGAAGGTGGTCATGGCCAAGGGCGGAGCAAGCCACGCCGCAGAGAATATAAGCCGGGTCCCCCAGAGAGACCGGCATTGTTGTTCAGCCTGAAAAAACCTCCGTCTACGTTCTCCGAGTTTCCAACACGTGGACCTGGACCCAAGCTGTGGTCCCGGTCCGTAGTAGCTAGTTACGGTATAATTAGTGTAGTTATCCTGGTAGTCACCACCATAGGTTGTTATTCTGTTAAGGGGCAGTTACCCCATGTGTTGGTGTTAATAAATGTGTTTCCTCCAAAGAATACGTCTACGACTCAGTTGAACTCACAACATATGTATGTAGAACTTTTGCACCACACGCAGCAAAGCGTGCTAATAGGAGGTGCAGTGTGGAGTCTATGGGCAGTGTTTATTTCCCATATTTTTCAAAGCAAGAGTCGGAGGTGCGTCGCATGAATCCACTTGCAAACGGCCAGCAATAAACGGCACGACCTACGTTGTGACACTGGAGAATTTGGCGGAAACCCAAGCAGAACAGAGAGAGAATATACAAACTCCACGAGCACCAATACCCGCCAATTCGCCACCAAGCGACGGTGACCTTCACCACGGCACCTGTGCCAGGTCAGGTGCAGTTTAATGCCACGTGAAGTGCACTACAAACAAGTAAACCCGTAAAAACAAAGTTTTTCACTCTAAATCCTTTATATGCGTGGCGGCTAGAGTTCTCTCGTCCTCTGGCTTGAGATGGCTGCAATCTATGGGTCAGATGATTGTCTGCCAGTATTAAGCAATTGGTAATTAAATATTTAATTAGTTTTCCCTAAACAGTGTAAAATTTTGGGAAAAAAATTTCACGAAAATTAATTGTCACACACAAATGTCAGCTCGATTGGATCATGGGAAGTGGGTTAAAAAACGAGCGAAAGATTTGCACGGTCCTAAGCAAGCAAGCAAGCACGCGAACTTAATATAAAGGATTTAAAAAACGATAGGGAGTGCAAAGTGTAGGGAAAGCCAAGCAAGGTCACGACATTTTTTTGGGCACATGCCAACCCCCCCCCAAAACACAATCGTTTGTGGAACTTTTGGACCAAGATTATAAAGAATATTGGAGACATGGTCTTGCACACACCCCTGTCCGCAGGCCAAGCCTTGGTCAGGAGTTGAGCTTGGATCGTTTCTCGGATGGGTGATCCACTACCCCTTCCATGAACAAAACACAGGTGTTATAGGCTACAATGTGGGCAGTTCAGCACCATCAATTGTTCTGCACAACTCCCCTGCCCCCCCGCCAAATCCGCAATGACCAGCGTGGTGGAGTATGGTCAAATGCAGTGGATGCGTAGTGTAACAGGACTACTGTGATGGTGGGGAGTGGTAGTTTTAGCGGTTAGCGCGCTGCCGCTACAAACCTGGCGGCCCGTAGTTCGATTCCCGCTCATGGCCACCAACACCAATGATGATTATCTGAACCGGTCCTGGGCATCCCCTAGGCCGACTCAGCTTTAAAATGAGTAACCTGGTGCAGTGTGGAAACACTGCCACTGGGGAGACAAAGGTGGCCAGGAACGGTGTTGGCCACCCACCCCCTCGTGTGCTGCACCAGCCTTCATTAGGCGCTCTAACAGTGCTTGCCCCAAAAGTCTATTCACGGCTATATGGGGGATCTTTGTCTTTGTTTTGTGGTGGCGAGCGATTAGCTTTAGCGCGAGCGTGCTGCCGCTACTAACCCGGCGGCTCGAGGTTCGATTCCTGCTCCCCGAGGTTCGATTCCTGCTCGTGGCCGCTAAAGCCAGGGCGACGATCTGGACCGGTTGCTCAAAAAGATTGTTTCATGGAGAGCGAGGACTATATAATGTAATCCCAGTGACGGATCATAAATACCAGGACCCAGGCATGCCTTTTGGAGTTTGGCCTGAGGGGGTAAAAAAAAGGGACAGAGCAGGGCGAGGGAGGGAAGGAGCAAGCCCGAGACAGACGCCCATCAACCACAACGGCAGGGGTGGGGGAAGCCAGATCAGCCAGACCAAGAGTAACAACGAGGAACAAAAAAATAATGGCTATGGCTCGAGGCCCTTTGTCTAGCAGCAGATCGATCAAGGCCGACAACAACGATTTAATTCCATGTCGACCACGAACGTTTCACAATGACTGCGTGCGGTGGGAGTTCTCCAAATAAAATCATCCACGTATACCCCCCCACCCTCTTCTCCCACCACCGCCACCGCACACAATAAGCAGATGTATACAAAAATTTATAAAAGCCACAACTCTTTTCGCCCAATACAAAACAAAAAGCAGAAGGAGAGGGGGCATGGGGGAGAACCATAAAGACAATTAAGGCTCAAGTGTCATTTCTATTTAGCCACGAGCGTGTTTCCCATTGCAAGGAGCAGTGAAGGGGCGGAACCGCCACAACATTCCGCAGACAACGAGAAAAAAAGACCACGCCAGGCATAACAACTGTGAGGAGACATTTTTGCCGAGTCAACATCACGTGACCAGGCTGTGGCTGTTCATTACAAGCGTAAATAGCACACGGAACACAGCGGGAGTCATTCATTCGCTCCTTGCAAAAAGGTCCTCTGGTCACGAGGTGGGGAACCCAGAACCCACACTGATGGGAGATATGGAACTCGGTGGGGGGGTGGGGTCGCAGGATGGGGTTACCTCCATCACTCAGTGGGCCCCTAACCTCAGACCCCCAACTCCCCTCAGACTACCCCCCCCCAATCAAATACTTGGCCGTACTTTTATAATTTCTTTATACAGATAGACCGAGTTACGATGGTCCGACTTACGATATTTCAATCTTACGATGGCGATACGACAAAATTGTAAAATATTCTAACTTTCGCGCGGCAGGCAAACGCAGCAGCGTACGAGGTACGATACTGTACGTTGGGAGGCCGTGCAGTACAGTATTGTAATTAATACATACAGTATATAGTTTATACAGTACAGTACTGTAAATTGCTCGGTTTTGCTAAATTATCACCATTCTTTAAAGACGCCTGGGTTGGCTAGGCCATCTTTGACTTACGATAATTTTGACTTACGATGGGGTCGTCGTAACGCATCTCCATCGTAAGTAGAGAACTACCTGTAATTGCTTTTAGTGTTTAGTTTATAATAAAGGTTTTTTGGTGAAATCGCATTATTTATAAATGTGTCGCAACCCTCCACCAACCGGCATGGCCAATCGGTAAAAAAAAGTGTCACGTGGACAAAAGACCGGTGTGCTGAAGAGTGAATCCACAACATTGACAATTTGAGTACGACGTTTCGCTGGAAATTACATCCAGCATCTTTGGACGATTTGCACTAGTGGGCTAAAGTAGAACTATTTGTCTTTTGTCAACGTGACACATTTTTTACGGATTGGCCGTGTCGGGTGGTGGAGGGTTGCGACACATTTATAAATAAACGCGATCAAACCCAAAAACCTTTATTATGAATAATACTGGTTGCGAAAGTCTACGTGTTAAACTGAGTGTTTTAGTTTGATGTCCTTCCACCCTCCCCCTGCACCTCCCAATGAGCACAGTTCGCTACGTACCGTGCCAAAGAAGCTCAACGTACACACATACACGCCCCTCCTTCTGCACGTCACCTGGACCGCACATTCTCTCCTCATGGTGGTCACGTGGATTGTTCCCCAGGTTCGTCCG